TTCTTTATCCAGTCTATCATTGATGGGCATTTGGGTTGGTTCCAAGTCTTTGCTGTTGTGAATAGTGCTGCAGTAAACATACGTGTGCATGTGTCTTTATAGTAGCATGATTTATAATCCTTGGGGGTATATACCCAGTAATGGGATCGCTGGGTCAAATGGTATTTCTAGTTCTAGGTCGTTGAGGAATCGCCACACTGTCTTCAGTTGAACTAATTTACACTCCCACCAACAGTGTAAAAGTGTTCCTATTTCTCCACATCCTCTCCAACATCTGTTGTTTCCTGACTTTTTAATGATCACCATTATAACTGGCATGAGATGGATACCCTGATAATTTCTAATAGCCGGTTAATTGATCATACTAGAGATTCTGAGTTGGCTATAACTAAAAGGCCTTACTTTAAAGAGATTACATTGGGATAACTTACTATTCCAGTGCAGCTTTTCAGGGAGTCAGGGGCTAATAATATTAGCATCTTACCATGTGCTGGGCAGTGGTCTGGCTCTTTGCATATAATTCTCAACAACCTAACGAAATGGATATTATTATTAAGCTCAATTTGCAGCCAGATGCAGTGGCACACACCAGGAGGCTGGTAAGAGGATCACTTGAGCCCAGGAGTTCAAGTCTAGCCTGGGCAACATAGTGAGACCCCCACCTCTTAAAAAACAAAAACAAAAAACTCAGTTTGTAGATGAGGAAACTGATTCACAAAAAGGTAAAAGTAACTTGTCTTGCCCCAGTCTGTACCCATAACCACTGCTCTAACGCTAAAAGAACCACATGATCTTATCATTGGTGCTGGCTTTAGTTAGTTGGCTCTTACCAAGTTTTGATGCCTCTCAATTCATTTGTGGCATTTCTTTATTATAACTAACCAAAAAGCATCCTAAGTTACCCAACCAGGAATCTCTACCAATATATGAGATTTAGAAGGTAAGAATTCTTTTTAACAAATATGTGTTTACCCAACTCTAATTGGAAAGTGGAAAATAATCTTCTAGCAATTTGTAAACAATTAAGATGAGAAGATAGGAGATCCTGAGACCTTAGTATACTTTGAAAAACTGTTTGGCGACATGGTAAGTTGTGCCTTTACCCCTCAGGAGACTTTACTTTGACAAGGTATATTAAATATGTAGTTGTTTTTCCAAACACCCTTGTAGGATAGGTTAGTATTAATAACCCTATTTATGCAGGAGATACTCTAAGTGTAGAAAATAATGTTAATATACTAGGATCTCATAGTAGTTCCAGAATCAGAAATACCCTTTTTGGAGTGTTACACTTAGTTGATAGTCTTGTAGTCTCTTACTTCTAAGAAAAACCAAACTGCCAGGATTTGAATTAGATGCTAAATGCTTTGCAAGCAAGTAACAGCATTACACAGAAAAGTGTTTTCCGTTTTCACCTGGGACCTTGTTACCTAAAGCATTTGATTTAAATAGTGTTGTTCCTTTAAAGAAAAATCATACCTCTCAAGGTTAGTGTAAGTCATAGAATCTCCCCATTTTGTGTCAGCAAAAAATAAGTCTTATGCATAGAAGATGACTTGCTACTTTCCAGGTATCTTTCCATTTTTCCTTCTCCAATATTTTCCTGTGTTTCTCTAATGAGAACATCATTCCGACCTCTGCCAGGAAAACAGGCAATATTTTTCCACAAAGGCAACTTTTTTTAGTTCCCCTTTGAGCTGGAGCAGACCTATACTGTAGTCTAAAGAAGAGAAATTTTAAGTTCTTCTAGAAACTGGAAGGAGTAATTTTAAAAATTAGGCAATGCAACTATCGCCAAACTATGTATGCAAATCATATCAGAATCCTAAACTGGTCTGGTTTTTTTGTTGTTGTTGTTGGTTTTTTGGGTGTTTTGTTTTGTTTTGAGAAGGAATCTCACTCTGTCACCAGGTTGGAGTGCAGTGGCGCAGTCTCGGCTCACCACAACCTCCGCCTCCCAGGTTCAAGTGATTCTCCTGCCTCAGCCTCCTGAGTAGCTGGGACTACAGGCATGCGCCACCATGCCCAGCTAATTTTTATATTTTTAGTAGAGACGGGGTTTCACCATGTTGGCCAGGATGGTCTCGATCTCTTGATCTCATGATCCTCCTGCCTCGGCCTCCCAAAGTGCTGGAATTACAGGCGTGAGCCACCGCACCTGGCCACACTGGTCTGTTTTTAATAGTTTATTGTAAGAAAGTTAGTATTCACAATTCTAATCTTAAAGCATGTAGCTTTTATGTGATCATTTTGATGCCTACTTCCAAGAAATACCCTAACACAAACCTCTTATTCTTTTTTTATTCCTCCTGTTCTCCTCCCTGATTCTTCTCGTCTCCCTCTGAGAGATGTTGGCCCCAATTTCCTGAATTTGAGGACAAGACATTCTTAGAATGCACATGGCTTGCACAAGATGTCTGAGTTTGAGGTCATGCAGAAGGAGTAATTTAGCTTCAGGGTCCCTTGTGCACACAATATTTTATAATTTTTCGTATTGCATAAGTTTTTTCGTATTGCATAAGTTTAAAAAGATGAGACCAATTAAATTTTTACTGTGGGCAGAGGGTGGGAGAGAAACAGAAGAGAATCAAATGTTGAAGGAGGAAATCAACTTCAGAAAACACAGAATTTCACTGGGTTCTAGTGCTAAAGGTTTGTCCTTTGCTTTTATAATGTTTTATACAACCTGTGTCAGTCAATGTGAAGAATACTTTAATCAGCATCATTGTCATAATTATTTCCTCTTTGCTTTTAATAGTCATGCTTATTTATATCCCAATTAAGAATTGTCTCTGAGAAGTGTGATGTTCTTCATAATAAATTATACTCAATTGGGTTTGCAGAGTTGGTTGATGTCATGATTCTGTTTTATTTTAATGCTCTTATGTTTAGCTCCCCTGACTTAACTACACATACCAGATGGTGAAAACAGAAGTGAGGGCAAATTAACAACCTCTGTCCTGTCATAGGAGAATCTGGAGAAAGAAAGCAACTACCATTGCTCATGACTTCTTTCCCATTAGCCCTCCATGGGCGGACATGCACACATACACACACACACACACACACACACACCCCTTGCTCATGGCTTCTTTCCCATTAGCCCTCCATGGGCAGGCGCACACACACACATACACCACACTCAGTCTTTATCAAGCTGTACTTTTCACTGCTCCCAAACACAAATGAGAATTTCTGTCCTTGTTGCTTTGCCCAACACTTTATTCTTCCTTGCCTAGAATGCTGCCTTCCCTACTGACCAGGGGGAAGCCTAGAAGCCTTGTAATAAGATAAACCTGATCCAGATCTCAGATCTACTACTTTTGACTTTAGGCAAGTTACTTTATTTCACTGAGAATCAGTTTCCTCATTCGTGAAATGAAGATGCACACGGTTTTTATGAGGGTAAAGTGGAGGAAAAAATATAAAGCACTCAAAAAATATTTCTTCTATTTCCTGTAGTTCCCCTTCTGTAAGTCCTGCCTATTCTTTAAAATTCGAGTTCTAAGCTTATTCTCTGAAGCACTTATTTGGAACAAGTATTCTTTGTTGTCTTGTATTTACTGTCTCCCCAAGTTGTTTGTCAATTTCTTGAGAGCTGAAACTCTTAAAAGAATCCTCAATTTCTGACATAGTCTTGTTAAATATGGTAGCCTCCAATGTATAATAGTGTAAAAGTGGAAAATGGAAAGTGACTCTCTAAACATGTGGTCCCCTTACTCTAAAGTCATTAAGTTGGAAAAGACTTTGAGTCCATTACAGTTTCTTGGCACAGTAAGGGAGATGGCATTAGAAGTACTTCCGTAAATTGTGAAATCTAAGAGAGCCATCAGTCAAGAAAGAGACATCTTGTGTTTCCATTCATGTAGAGAGAGCTTGATTTGGTGAATCTGTACATATAGATAAGATGATTGATTGATTGATAGAGGATAGATAGATAGATAGATGGATAGATAGATAGATAGATCGGTCTATCTTTGAGACAACATTCTCTAAAGAATAAACTTAGAGTGTGTTTGAATGTTCTAGTAAAGGAGAGCAGCTACTTCTACACTCTTAACCAAAGAATTTTCCTCTAACAGGAAAGCTGTGATTCTCCATTGGAAATGCATTTTCATTGACAATGTCCATGGAACACAGCGGGCAAAGAGGATAGCTATTCAGCTTGCCAGATCAGCTAGAACTAACCAAGGGTAGTGAAAGGAGGGACAGATGTCAGCCAGATTGCTGCCATATTAGATACAACTATCTGGTAACATACTCTCCTACCCAGAGAATGACCATCAGGTAGAGCTGAATAGTGGGGGTTTTGGTTCATACTAACACAAAACTCTTAATAGGATCAAAATCCTTTAACTCATAGGTAAAAGTCGCTGTAGAGGTCATTCCCACTATATGTGCCAAAAGTTATTTTTATTGACATGACCAGAACTTGTTTTCCAAAAGAAACGTTGCAAAACATTTCCAAATGTTACATTGCAGTCTTAATTGTTGACTTTCTGCCATCATCTCCCTTTAATTCTTTGGCTTTTAATTTTTAATAATTTGTCATCTTTTGATATATCTCATTTTAAGCCATGATGGAAAAATAGTATTTTTCTCTGCTATAATTTATCTCAGACTTATCCAGGTATTAACCTGTCATTTCTCACAAATAGAAGGAAAACTTTTTGATGATATTTCTAACTTCAAGAAAATATTTCATGGCCGTTATGAATGGAACAAGGTCTTGGGGCTTCATCTTTGTTGTTACAGTTGTTTTTATCCTCCCAAATACTTGACAATAGCCTACAACTGAAACTTGAACTTCATTGCAAAATCTTGAATCACAGTAATGATCTGGCTTTGGGTGCTGCAGCTCACTGATTTTTGTATGTTCTGCTGAAGAAAAACCAGCATTGTCACATTTTTGCTCTTCTTGATATTTTAGGACCTTGTACTATAGTACTACACAAGAGAGATATTTCTAATGTGCTATATCTGTGTCTCTTGTCATTGAGGTAATTGTCATGAGAAAACCCTGGACAACAGCCATGACAAACAGAAATATTTTGACAACTCACAGTCACTGGATGCTGCTGAAGAAGAGCCCTCTGAGAGAGGAACAGAGGAGGACCCTGTGTTCTCTGTTGAGAATTCAGGAAGGGACTCAGATGCCCTTAGACTTGAAAGTAAGTTGATTTGACCTAAGCTGTGCTTCTGGGGAAAAATCAACTCTCAAGCTTTAAGCTTAGGCTTTTCTCTACTTTTAAGAATTTGTTTTCTTCTTTTAACAATCATATTGTAGCATCATGAGGGTGACCCCTAGGCGGTGAGGCAGAAGACAAACTATAGTGTGAAAGTGTTCTTCACACTTTCTTTGTTCTCTCCTTCAGTGTCTTCTGTTGCTAGAACAAATCTGATTTGTTTGTGTATCAGTCTTCTTAATGTTACTAGTATATTGAGTAAATCATTGTAAAAGGAACATAAGTTGCTTTTACACTAACTCAATAAAATATGAAGATTTGGAATAATGGGCTTACCTATTACGCCCTCTCCCAAGATTCCATTTTATGACCACATTTTGAGCTATGTTGTACTAAATGGTTCTTGCTTAAATTATCAGAATTGCCAAAATGCATGACTTCTTTTTAGTATTCACCCACTTGACCACTTTACTGTACCTGGAACTATGCATAACTCCTCCCCACTTCTTGAAACTCTCTTCTTTCCTCTTGGCTTCTGGAATATCACTTTCTCTTGGCTTTCTTCTATCCACACACCATCTTTTAAAATTTCTTTCACTTACTCTTTATTCTGCCCTGTATTTGTTGGGTTATCCAGGATCCTGACTTTGACCTTCTATTCTCGTCCTTCTATGTATTATCTCTTGGTGATTCAAATACCCTTGACTACACCAATGACTCCAGACCTATATTTCAGCTAAGACATTCTCTACAACTCCAGATCTTATTTCTACTTTTTTTTTTTTTTTTTTTTTTTAGTGTACTCTTCATCTGGATGTGCCATAGGCACTTAAATGTAACATATCCAGAATTGAACTTCTCCTCATATGGGCCCTATTTTCTGAAATACTTCTAATTTCTACATTCCTGATCTCTGTTAACAACAGCACAACTCACCCAGACACCACTGTATCCAGTCAATCTCTCAGACCTGTTGCATCTATATCTCTTCATTCATTCCCTCTGCCACTGCTTGAATTCAGACTTTCTTCATTTCTGCCTGCACTATTGCAGTAGCGTCTCAATTTGGCTCTCTAAATCTAGTCTTTTATTTTAATCTGTATGTGAAGAAAGATAATACATGTAATCAATACAGAATTTTAAAAGTGGAAACAACCAATGTTACTAATTTTTTGTACGTCCAAAGAGTTGTTTCTAAAATGTAGATCTGATCAGATTTGCAAGTTACTTAATCTTCCTGAGCCTTTCTTACCTCATTTATTTAAAAACAAACCAACAAAAATGCTTCATAGAGTGGTTTTGAGTATTTAAATGAAATAACTTGGTGAAGCATTTATTTTAGTGCCTGGTACTCAGAACCCAGTAAATGTTCTACAAACATAGGTATAACTGCAACTTCAGGAGTCAAAGTCTTTACAAGCACATACACATAGTACATGATCAGTAAACATCTGTTCAGTTCAAGGGAGCCATAATATATTTGCACAAGAATTGTTACAGGAAAGGTTCCCTGTTTGCTTTTCTAGGTTATCTACTCAGAGTTCCCAGTTTTCTCTTGCTATACTGACCCAGCTAGAAAAAGGAAGAACACCACTGGTGGCAACGAATACTTATGATTATTGTTTTCTGCTCAGAAGAGAATGATTTCCCTACCTACCTTAATCCGAGTGGTTTAATCTAAGTCTTTTGTGCTTTCTGATTACTGGCTTGAAATTTTATGTCATTGCTTATATGTTAAATCATAAGCATATCTGCAGCTTTCCAATCGACTTCAAACCAGATGACTGCTTTTTCAAGAGAACCCTAGGACTCAAAACAGAATTGCCCAAGGCTCTATGGTGGTAATCTTTTTTTGTATTTTTGAGAAAGAGTCTTGCTCTGTCACCCAGGCTGGAGTGCAATGGCGCAGTCTCGGCTCACTGCAACCTCCACCTCCTGGGTTCAAGCAGTTCTCCTGCCTCAGCCTCCCAAGTAACTGCGATTACAGGCACATGCCACCACACCCAGCTAATTTTTTTGTATTTTAGTACAGATGGGGTTTCACTGTGTTGCCCAGGCTGGTCTCAAACTCCTGAGCTCAGACAATCCACCTGCCTCAGCCTCCCAAAGTGCTGGGATTACAATCATGAGCCACAGCGCCTGGCCCTATGATGGTAATCTTAATTTGGAACCAAGTTTGTCTAATTCCTTAGAATACTCTTTCTTTTTTGTGAGACAAAGGGACATATTCCCTCTACAGTATTGTTATTAAAGATAGTATGTGCCTTACTTGCCTTTAGAAGCCACAATCTTAAGTACTCTAGCACCCATTGATGTTAGTCATGCAAGATTTCTGGAGGAAGATGTTTTCGGTCAGATTTTGCTGGTCATCTCTTTGAATTTGTGTTCTTTACCTCTTTCTGTGGTTATGTTTACTTCTGTCTTGTTTTGAATCTGGCACTCATCTTTCCATCCTCTGCTCCCTAAAACTCCTTGAAACTTCTCTTCCAAGATTGTTAATGCTGTTTCTTATCAAATATAGTCACCTTCTGTTAATCGGCTTCTGGTATTCCACTCCCTCTCAGTAGTGTTCTCTGTAGCCATTAACTGGCTTCTGTTTCTATTCCAGGTGTGGTGATCCCAGTTTCTTCCTGGATAACCATTGTCATCTGATCCAAAAGTCTTTCCTAATATTGAGCTAAAACATGACCTCTCATTTCTAGTTTTGTCTTATGAGGCCAGCAACGTCAGTCTTGTTTCTCATTAATAGCACATTCCTGTAGGTATTGAAAATGGTTATTGTTTCTGCCTACCTTCCTTTCCTGTGTCTTTGCTTCTCTTCAGTTAAATGTCCCCACTTCCTTGAATAACTTAATGTTATGGCATCTAGTCTCTTCACTGTCTTTGAAGTAATCTCCTTGGAATTTTTCAAAATCTTTTCAAGCCCAAATTTTTGGTGTAATATATCAGCTACTCTTCCTGCCACTGGATCCCCCTAGATTTCTTCAGTCCCTCTTCTGAAGTTTTGAGTACTTTTTGCCAAGTATATTTTCTGTGAATGTGCTCTGCTTTGCACATCTCCTAAAGTGAGGTGCCCAGACTTTAGGAGAACATGAATCTCCAGGTGTGTGTGGAACATTTCAAGCTTCTTTTTGTTTTCAACAGAACTACATATGCATAGCTACGTTTCTTTCTTTTTTTTTTTTTTTTTTTTTTTTTTTTTTGAGATGGAGTCTCGCTCTGTTGCCCAGGCTGGAGTGCAGTGGCACAATCTTGGCTCACTGCAAGCTCCGCCTCCCGGGTTCATGCCATTCTCCTGCCTCAGCCTCTCGAGGTAGCTGGGACTATAGGCGCCCACCACCACGCATGGCTAATTTTTGTATTTTTATGAAGCAAGATTTTACCATGTTGGCCAGGCTGTTCTCAAACTCCTGACCTCAGGTGATCCGCCCACCTCGACCTCCCAAAGTGCTGGGATTACAGACGTGAGCCACCATGCCTGGCCTATAGCTTCATCTGTTAACACTTCTCCTAGTCCCTGTGATTCTTGATAGTACCTAATATGGCTCAGATACAACCATAAACCTTCCCACTACCCTGGAATAGGCTTCATCTCCGTAAAGGATGTGAACTCACATCTCACATAAACCTCACTGTGGATGCTCACATTCTCTCCAACTTCACAATATTTATTCTTCTTTTTCCCAGTGTGAAAATGGTGCATGGTAACGAAAATCGTTTTCAGTTTATATCATACCATCTGTCTTACAAGCAGCAAGATTTAGTTATTCCTCTTGCTTCAAGCATAATTTGAAACCTTCCGAGATCTCTACAATCCAGACCTTTCACCAAACCAGAATTCTGTATTTTCAGCTGTACAGGACAGTTGTGTAGGGCAGTGTTCTATATAGGACAATATCTGAAGATACATTCCTCCATCCATTCTTGTCTAGACTGTAAGTTCCATGGGTTGTTACCACCCAGCCCTCAGTACATTGCTAGATACAGCAACAAATATTTTCATGAATTAATGACTAGTGTCTACAATTCCAAGTCTTTATCCTGTTGCCCTTTCCTAACTCCATTGTCTTTATAAATATCATTCTGTTTACATATTCACAGATTCTAAACCTATAGTCATATATTAAAAATCCCAGTTTTTCACATTAGACTTAAAAATCTTGAAATCATCTTTGAGCCTATCCTATTACTAATTTTTCTCTATTAACATCTCCTTGTATACCTCTTTACCCTCCCTTTTTAAAAAATTCCTTTTCCTTTTACCTTAAGACAACCCACTTCTATAACTCTTTTTTTTTTTTTTTAATACTTTAAGTTCTAGGGTACATGTGCACAATGTGCAGGTTTGTTACATATGTATACATGTGCCATGTTGGTGTGCTGCACCCATTAACTCGTCATTTACATTAGGTATATCTCCTAATGCTATCCCTCCCCCTCCCCCCCTCCCCCTCCCCACAATAGGCCCCGGTGTGTGATGTTCCCCTTCCTGTGTCCAAGTGATCTCATTGTTCATTTCGCACCTATGAGTGAGAATATGCGGTGTTTGGTTTTCTGTTCTTGTGATAGTTTGCTGAGAATGATGGTTTCCAGCTGCATCCATGTCCCTACAAAGGACACGAACTCATCCTTTTTTATGGCTATATAGTATTCCATGGTGTATATGTGCCACATTTTCTTAATCCAGTCTGTCACTGATGGACATTTGGGTTGATTCCAAGTCTTTGCTATTGTGAATAGTGCTGCAATAAACATACGTGTGCATGTGTCTTTATAGCAGCATGATTTATAATCCTTTGGGACACTTCTATAACTCTTATAAAGATTCTTAAATACCTTTCTAATTGGTCTCTTTGTCTTCTGTCTTCTCTTTCCTTGTCCAACACCCCTGTTCCAATACACAAACTGATTTACTACTCTAAGACTTTAACCTTCGTAATTATTATGGCCCTCATCCTGTTATTCTTCTGCTTAAGAAACGAGAGGCTCCCTTTACAACGAATCCTCTTCATGACTTTCTCACACATTTGTAACATCACCTACCTTTCCTAAGTGTCTTATTTGTTGCTATCCCCTGTATACATTCCTGGTTGTAATTAATTTGAAATTGGTCATGCCTTCCATGTGCCTTTACTATCCCTGTATGTATGTGTGTGGACAAATGAGTCTATGCATACATGCTTTTTTAAAAAAAAATGTCACTCTGGAAGCTCACACCGGAATCCAAGCACTTTGAGAGGCTAAGGCAGGCGGATCACCTGAGGTCAGGAGTTCAAGACCAGCCTGGCCAACATAGCGAAACCCCATCTCTACAAAAATACAAAAAAAAATTAGCTGGGTGTGGTGGTCTGCACCTATAATCCTAGCTATTTGGGAGGCTGTGGCAGGAGGATCACTTGAGCCCAGGAGGCAGAGGTTTCAGTGAGCTGAGATTGCGCCACTGCACTGCACTCCAGCCTGGGTGACAGAACAAGACTCTGTCTCAAAAAAAAAAAAAAAAAAAAAAGTCACTCTGGGGAGTGACCTCCCTGGCCCTCTACTCTGTCTGTCTAAATCCTGCCTCAGGTAGTCCCCCTTTCTCTAAGAAGCATTTGTGATTACATGAAAGTATTTTTTCCTCTTAAAAAGAAAGTTAATTGTTCTCTTTATTATTTCATGTATGTAGTTTTCTGTCTCCAACTTGATTATAAATTCATTATATTTAATTTCTTAAGGTTAGAAACTTTCCATTTTTTTTTGTTCCCACCTACAGCTTACAGAGATAGACACATAGTAGGCTGTCAATAAAGTTTGGTTTATTTTTTGCTAACTCAGAGCACACTTATAATCTACTTATTCCTCACTTGTGAGGAGAAAATATAAAAATATGTACATATTTAGTGTTGTTTTTTAGGAATTGCTTTTGCCCCAACCCCAGCAGCCTTTAGAAAAGCCTAATGGCTACCAGCAACAGAAGCCTGCAGCAAGCTCCGTATTCTCTCTTCATTTGAATATCAGTTTCCATTGATGAAAGCCCCTCTCTCTCAGAAGTTTTAAATAATGATAAATATTACCATATGTTAGGAGCACAGGGAAGCAGTAACCTTGGGTTACTGGGTTTGTAGAACTCTTTGTAGCTAAACAGCATGATTTTTTTCCAGTGTGTTGCTTAACGACAGGGATATGTTCTAGGAAATGCGTCCTTTGGTGATTTTGCCATCGTGGGAACATCATAGAGTGTACTGTACTTACTTACACAAAGCTAGGTGGTATAGCCTACTGTGCTCCCGTGTTATATTGTGTAGCCTCTTGCTCCTAGGCTACAAACTTCTACAGCACGTTTATCTGCTGAAACACTGTAGGCAAGCATAACACAATGGTAAATATTTGCGTCTCTAAACGTATTTAAATGCAGAAAAGGTACAGGGGAAATACAGTATTATAATTTTATGGCACCACTGTGGTATATGCAGTTCATCATTGACCAGAACTTCATTATGTGGTGCATGGCTGTGATACCATGTTCTAAATCCCTGAACAAGCCAGAATTACCAACTGAAGATTACTGCACTAGAATAATGAAACTGGCGTTTTGTGAGGTATCAACCCAGAGCTCTCAGGTTTTCCTGTGGGTATATGTTACAAAAGGAGATGTTTTGTTATTTGTTCTTGTGCCCTATCTACTTCCTAAAGGGACTAGGGATAACTTTCATGGAATGCACAATGTAACATCCAGCCATTAATACAAAATAAACAGGAAAAGTTAAGTAGTGCAGAATTTTTTAAAAGAAAGCCTTCTATTAAGAAACTCGGGCTGATTTTGCCTGAACTTCCTTGTTATTCAAGCATAGAAGGAAAACTCAAGAGGGTTGTGTAGCCTTCACTGGATAATAAAGGAAACATACTGAGTTCTCAAGAGAGAGAATTTTTGCTAGGCCATTATGCTGAGAGTCTTCCATCGGGGTCTTTTAGAGACTTGAGCCACCTAAATAATATCTTGGTAATCATTTTAGAAAGAAATTACTGTAATATATTGCTATTTCTTATATCAGCCATTAGTGAAAAATGGGAGCCTTCATGTAGAATTAGGATAGTTTTCCATTAAACAAATCATTTTTCAGTTAAGTCAGTTAAGCCAGCTATATGGTCTGGACACACAGCTATGTCCAGATATTTGAATAAACCTTGAAGAATCCCATATATTAAATAACATAATAAGCTTCATCCTTGCCATCTATGTTTTGAATGTAGAGCAAGTGGATCTTTTTTAAAAAATAGTATATCACATACCTGTCCTCATGCTCACTAATAAGAGAATCTCTGCCTGCCTGCTGTCTAGCTGCCACTGTTCTCAGCCAGGCTTTTGGCAAACGCTAGATGACAAACTTGGTATTTTATTATGTATTTTGAAGATGCTGAATGGTATTTTTATCACATTGGGCTATAGAAGTGCCTCTAAGCAGAGCCAAAACGTTTCTCCAAAAGCAGGGTTGGAGTCACCCAAGGACTTGAATGAGTACTATGTACCTTTTACTAACATGCTGGCCCTTGAATTTCAGGTACGGTGGTTGAGGAGAGCAATGGCTCTGACGAGATGGAGAACTCAGATGAAACCAAAATGTCAGAAGAAATACTGGCTTTGGTGGATGAATTTCAGCAGGCATGGCCTTTGGAAGGCTTTGGGGGTGCACTGGAGATGAAAGGGCGGCGTCTAGACTTACAAGGAATACGGGTGCTGAAGAAAGGTCCCCAGGATGGAGTGGCCAGAAGCTCTTGCTACGGAGACTGCAGAAGTGAAGATGATGAAGCAACAGAATGGGTAAGTTTGCCGACTTAATTCTTACAAAATTGTAGCCCATGTCCTTCAGGGGATCCTAGTATGCAAAGTGGAAGTTTCTGTTGGATATGTGGCACTACTTGGCTGCACACTCCAGGACAGCCTTCACATTGGAATTTTACCGGGAGGAAGCCTTTCATGTTACTTATGTATTGCTGGCTCTTCTGGGAGGCAGGAGGAAATGGGATGGGTGTGAAGCCACAGTCAGAGCCTGCAGACTTGGAACTGTCCAGTTCAGACATCTTTCTTTTCAGTTTCTCCTATACATTCTTCAAGACTAGGTTATTTTGTTCATTTCACTAACCATTTTTTATTTAGGTCTTTAAGAGTTAAATTCAAGGAGAGAACCTGAGCACAGGACTTGGTTATTCTTAACTAGTATTCACAAGTCATTGACAGATTTGATCACTGGTCTCATTTGTCCCTAACATGTTTCTGTTTCCCAGATTACATTCCAGGTCAAACGTGTAAAGAAACCCAAAGGAGATCATAAGAAAACTCCTGGGAAAAAAGTAGAAACAAGTCAGATAGAAAATGGACATCGTTACCAAGCAAACCTGGAGATCACTGGCCCCAAGGTGGCATCTCCTGGGCCACAAGGTAAATTTGAATGTTTAATATGCCAATTTCTTGTTTTAGATATCACTGTCTCATTTCTCACAGAGGCTGTATTTGTAACTTGAAATAGTTCAGATGAGATGATAAAGGGGCAAAGTGATCAAGAAACCAGTCTGTCTTCTGTATCAGTGAAAAAAGTGTTCAAACGCTAAAACATTATGGAAATGAAATTCCAGTGGATTTAACATTACGTGTAATAAATCATAAAGGAAGAAAAACTAGGTGAATATTTACATGTTCTTTCTATGTGGAAAGAACTTTCTAAGGCAGAGAGAGAGAAAGAAAATAATAATTCTGACACTGGAAAGCACCACAAAATAAGACAAAGGACTGAAGCAAAGTATTTTTTGTAGATTATTTTTGTATATATTTACAGAATATATGATAAGCAGAGGGTATCAATGTCATTTAAAGAGCACTTACAAATCAATATGAAACATACAGTATTTCAATAAAATGTATGCAGCGTACATAGGCAGTTCACCAAACACACACACACACACACACACACACACACACACACACACACAGAGATGGCCACTAAACTTGAGAAGATGTTCAACCTCATCAGCAATCAAAGGAGTGCAGGCATAAACAGTAAGATACCAGTTTTGATTATCAAATTGTTTTTAAATGTGTAACACACATTTTATTTAAATGAAGTGAATTTTGGGGTAGTCTGACTAGACACATCAGAAAATTTAAAAATATACCAGTTATTCTACTTATAGTAATTTACCCTAAGTAAATCATCTTACAAGTGCCATAGATGTAAGTAGAAAGATATTGATCATGGGGTTGCTTATAATAAAAATTTGTAAACAACCTGAATGTTGTAATTGCCTAAGTAAATCATAACACGTCCATGCTGCATAATATGCAGCCAAAATATTGGTAATATACTAAGAAAAGCAATTTATAAAGTAGTAAATGTAGAGAATACCTTTATCATTATGCTGTATTTCATCAACTACATTTTTTTCACATTTCAATATCTCTGAAATTGGAATACATCTTAGAGTTGATAGTATCTTATATAATAATTGGCACTGTTTTTCTTTCTTAAATCCTTTAAAATAATGTATATTTACAGTTGGCAGCATCTTAGATTTGATGAAATATGGTATAATAAACAAGCACATAGAAACAAAAGTAGGAGGAAATACATCAAAATGTTATAAATGGTCATCTCTGGGTGCTAACAGAGCTATAGGTGATTTTTATTTTCTTCTGTATGACTTTTCCATTTTTTAAATATTTTACAATAAGCCTGTATTACTTTTATAAACAAAAAAACTAAAAATGTATTATAAAAGTGAAAACTAAAGCTGAATATGGTTGAGATTATATGAGAGCACTTAAGCAGTTTTAAATGTATTCAAATTGGTGGGCCCAAGTAGGGCATTGAATGTACTTGCAAATGGGATCATGGAACCACTTATTGGCATTAAAGTGAAAAGCTCTAAAGCATAGAGAACAGAAATACTAGAGAGATTCAAAATCCCAATTTTCAGTTAAGTATGGATTCTATTCACTGCTAACTAATCAGCTTCATGATAAATCCTGACCAAGTTATAAAGCAAAGTATTAAATAGTTTGTGAGCCCAAGGGGGAAAAATGGAGATCATTAAGAGCCATTGTAGATTTTCTAAGAACTAATAATAATGCTTAACTAATTTCATTTCCTTTTTTGGTTAGGGCTACTAGACTGGAAGACCAGGAAAGTGCCATAGACATAATGTAACTGGATTTCAGCAAGGCATTTAACAGAGCCTCTTATGATATCCTTGTGAACCAGATGGAGAGATGTGGGCTTGAAGCCTTCCCATTGCCTACAGGATAAAATTCAAACTTCCTAGTGTGGTGTACAAGACCCTTTACAACCCGCCTCTGTGTACCCTTCAACACCATTCTCTGAACCAACCATGCTCATGTTTTTACCTCAGTGCCTTTGCACATGCTGTTCCCTATGCCTGGAATGCCCTATGCCCCCTCTGCCCTCTGCCGTGCTAAAATATCCCTCATCCTTAAACTTCAAAATCAAGTGCCATCTCTTCCTTGTTACCTTCAGGCAGAATTAGTTACTCTTTCCTCTGTGCAATTGTTCTATATCTTTGCTCTAGCTCTTTTCCTATTGTATTGTAATGATTTGTTTATGTTTACCTTCCTTACTAGACTGTGAGCTCAAGAGCAGGCCGTCTTATGATTCCTGTCTGTACCCCTAGTGTCTTTTATGGTTCTCAGCCCCTTATAACAGGTGCTCAATAAATATTTTTCAAATGAAATCATTAAATGTAAAAGAAAAATAAGATTTTTTGTGAAAATTATGGCTTATTTAAGTTATTAATTTAAAGAGAGTTAATTTGAAACTCTTTCAAAACGGTTCCTTTCTGTTTTGTTAAAATCTCAATCTAAACCCCTGCCTGTACCTCAAACAGTTTTCTACTGTTGGTAAATTCCTATAATATAAAAAGTGCTATACAGAACTAAAGTTCTCCTTCCTGCCTATTCCATTATAACTCCTTCAGAAAACCCCTCCCAGACAAGACAGTTCTGCTCTTTTCTTGGGGATTTGATGTAAGTAAAGCGCCCAGACCCAAAAAGTAGTACCTACGAAGGATATTAATAAACAGAGCTTTAAAATTTTTTGTAGCTTTAAATAGCTTGTTGATTGGGAACATACACGTTACAGTCAAACAGACTTGGATCAGGATCCCAGCTCTGCCATTTCCTAGCCAGGTGACCTGGGCAAGTCATCTAGTCTCCCTGAGTCTCTGTTTTCTCATCTGAGAAATGAGGGTTAAAACCTACTTCAGGCCAGATGCAGTGGCTCACATCTATAATCCCAGCACTTTGGGAGGCCAGGGTGGGAGGATCACTTGAACCCAGGAGGTTAAGGCTACAGAAAGCTAGTATCATGCCATGGCACTCCAGCCTGGGCAAGAAAGCAAGGTGCTGTCTCTAATTAAAAGAAGAAAAATGGAAAAAACTTATGAGGTTAAGGATGTAAAGCACTTAGCACGGGATCTGAATACACAGGAAGTGCTCTTCAAATAGATGATAACCAGGCTGGTTCTTGGACTTTGGTGTTGTGGCGGGGGCTGCGGGGAGATGATCATCTTTCATTAACATCATTATTCCCTGCTGCTCTTCTTTATAGCAGTGGTTCTCTCTACTGGGTGTGATGTTGCCCCCCAGGGGACATTTGGCAATATCTGGAGACATTTTTGTTGTTTTATCTGGGGAACGGTGCTACCAACATCCAGTGGGTAGAGGCCAAAGATGATGCTAAACACCCTCCAATGCACAGGACAGGTCCTCAAAAAATTATCCAGCCCAAAGTGTCAATAATACCAGGTTGAGAAACCCTGCTTTAGGGATATATGTTTCTACTAAGTTGCAGTTGTCTTTATAAAATCAAAATACAGAGGGGGCAAAAATTAAGTTTGGTAAGACTGTTAACATTGAAGAATACCTTAACCCTTATTTCATGTTGCTCAGTCTTAAATCCACCAAAGGACTCATTTATTCTTTCTTCTCCACCTGTCTTTACTCAGAGATGATCTTTAGTCCCATTGCATAATGACAAGATTTTAATTAGACCATAGATGGGGGAAATGCTAAAACTACAAGAATGACTAGCACCTCCAAATACACCAATCTGGGTGAAGTAATCATCAGGGCACAAGGCCCTTTGGGTTCTGTTCCTTTGCAATCGCGTGGATTCATGGCATACTTTCCTTCCAGGAAAAAAACGTGACTACCAGCGTCTGGGATGGCCCAGCCCAGACGAATGCGTCAAACTCCGCTGGGTAGAGCTGACTGCCATCGTGAGTACCTGGCTTGCAGTTTCTTCAAAAAACATTGAGTAAGTATGTTAAGCCTCTCCCTCCTTTATGGCATTTGAGTTCCACTGAACCCAGCTGACTTTAAGGATGCCCTCTTAGCAGAGAGTAGAAAAGTTATCCTTTCTAGAGCTGAATTTTCAAAGGATGACCATGCTGACCATGGCCCCCAGGTGGACCCAACCCATTGTAGCAAAGCCGTGAGTGTGCCTCCCTTCCCGGTGCCTTCACCTATCCTTCGTAAGCTATCTAGCAGCCATGTATAACCTGCTTAGTTTGCATTGAAGACTGGATCCTCTTTATAGAAGCACAAAACCCATAGTTTCTCATGAATATCATGCAGTTGTAAGGGAGCCAGAGCAAATCCAGATTTGCAAACACCTACCGAGACATACTAGGTGCCTCTGATAACTGCTTTCTCCTCACTGGACACTCACTCTCTTTTGCTGACCCCTTTTCTACCCTTTAAGTGTTGGAGTTTCCCAGGATTTACCACTAAGCCTTCTTATTTTGTAATCACGTCTAGTCAGACTGATCTACTCCCAAAATTCCAATCAACACAGATGTACTAACAGCTCCCAAACTTGAATCTCCATACCAGACCTTCTACAATGCCTTCAACTCATTTGTCTGTCTCCCTGACCTGACTTGTCTAGATTGCACTCAGGCATCCCATGCTCAGGAAAACTAAAGTCATAATTTTCTTGCCCACTCTCCATATTAAAAAATTATTGTTTCGTTTGTTTTTTCTTTTCCTATTTTTAGTAAATAGCTCCAGCAATGCTTAGGCCAAAAACCTGGGAGTTATCCTTAACAATTTTCCTCCCTTGCTCTTCAAATTCAGCCTGTTACCAATTCTTAGCACTTTTACTCCCTGAGTATTTTTCAAAACCACCTACTTTTCTCCATCTCCATTGGTGCCTCCTCAAACCAGAGCATAACCATCCCTACATCGGTTCATCCAGTACCTCCTAGCTGGTCCTCTTGCTCTGTTCACTCTTGCCTCTGTTCAACCTGTTCTCTCCACAGTACTCAGAAATCTTCAAATATAAGTCAAATCATTCTTAAAGCACTCTAGGAAATTCTTACTGCTATTTAAAGTGGACTTGATCTGCTTTTCTTGATCTGCTCCCTGCCTGTTTTTTCATCCTTTCTTTTGCCCTCTCTCCTGCCAGGACTGTCACACATGGTGTCTCTTTTGTCTGTGACATTGTTCCCACTGTGGGTTCTCAGCTGGTTAATTCATACTAAACCTTCTGGCCTCAACTTAATCTTACCTCCACAGAATCCTTTACTAGCTACCTCCCTGCTCCACCAGTGCAGAGGCAACGTATACCCTCCTGGAGTGCACTGTCACTGCACCATATTTTATCTTTTATAACTTATCACATGTAATAAATGAATCACTCACAAGAGAATGAACATGATAACAGCAGGGACTGACTATGTTTTACTCATTATTATAGTCCTTGTATCTGACATGTAATAGGCTGTAAATAAATAATGAGTGAATGTTTGCCTAATAATTGTTAGACTTTTTAAATAGCTGCAAGTAAAACATGGCAGTGCCAATTTGTCATATTAGTGCATATGACAGTCTATAATAGTTTGTATATGGTGGGAAAATGAAAGGAAGTACTTAGTCTTACACCTAAATACAGTGTACGGCTGTTTATCTCTATAAAATTTACTGTCTAAGCTTTAGGTAACTTTTTCTGTGGGGAGGAATGTGCTGCTGTGCATAAAAGAAAACTAAAAGAAAAATAACCAGTTGTGGGTATTTCTCACCACTTATATCTTGGAAGAAGAAATCCTAGAAGAAAACTTACCTCGTTTAAAATCAGGGGATAGCATATTGAAGCTATGATGAGCTGATTGTTAACGCTGTCTCTCTTCTCTTCGCACCCACTCAAAAATTTCCTAATGTGGTCATCTCCATTTCTCAGCATCACAGAACACATAGACTTTGCCACCCCTATACAGCAGCCAGCAATGGAGCCTCTTTGCAATGGCAATCTCCCCACGAGTATGCATACCCTGGACCACTTGCATGGGGTTTCCAACCGAGCCAGCCTGCACTACACAGGGGAGAGTCAGCTAACAGAGGTGAGTGCTCAACTTTGTTCAGGCTGGTTTTTAGCCTCACAATTAGGATGCACATTGATAGTGGAAAGCACAGGTGACCAGTCCTTTAAAAAAAAAATAGGGGCTTTTTTTCAGTTAGGCATCACCTAGGTGGATTTGGGCCAAGCCTGATTTCTTTCAGGCCCTTGGACTGAGCTTATTAGTCTTTTTTTATTTATGACCATGGAATTTTAATCCTGATTTACCCCTCAAGGGGAGTAGTTCTGCCTTGCCATCAAATACAGACTCTTGAGAAAAATGTTTGGGGCAGTTAATTCTCCTGTTGACATTTTTAAGAAGGAAGGTAAGGAAGGCAGACCCAATATATACCTAGCAAAGCATCTACCTAGAAGAATTGGAAAAACATGTCACAAGTATCCAACAGTAGGGCATTGGTTAAATAAATTTTGGTATAGAAGTAAGATAGTATACAGTGGCACCATTAGAAAATATATAGAAATATTCTTATTGACGTGAATAAATTTTCACAGTATATAATGTGAAAACATAGGTAACAGTATATAGTATAATTCAATATTTTGGGAGAAAATGTACATAGAAAAATATCTGAAAGACATATAAAGGTGTTAAAAGTGGTTGATACCTCTCCATATATCTTTACATGTCTGAATGACAAGATTACACATAGTTTATTTCATTTACTCTGTGGTCTAATGTTGCTATAATGAATGTGTTTTATATTCTGTAATTTTTGTTAAATGTGGGAGAGCTGAGGGGATGCTAAAACAGCCTTAAATGTATCTTCCATAGATTACCTTACCAATAGGACCACAGCATGTATCCCAGAAAAACAGTTTGCCTCTGTGGTATGGTGCCCAACTCAGCATTAGCAGTATCATCTAGATCCTGCGTCGTTTTCATTCTACTAATCTGCCATCTTCCTTCCTTCCAGGTATTACAAAATCTCGGCAAAGACCAATATCCACAACAGTCGCTTGAACAAATTGGCACCCGAATTGCCAAAGTTTTGGAAAAGGTAAGTCTCCCCACAGAAAAGCTGGAAACAATTGCCCTCCTTCTAACTTCTTTTCTAGGTTATTTGCTCCTAAGTGTCTCTAACCTCTTCTGTTAGTTACTTAGCACTTGGTGGCTCAAAGGATAATGTGAAATAACTCCCCTCAGAATGTTTCAGTCACTTTTTTAATATTCTTTTCTGTCTCTTTGCCTACCTTCTGTGGTGAAACTTACCTAGTCAGTTTTCTCTTCTTTACCCCAGTATGTGTGTATAGAGGTGTTAGTATTGGAAACCATGGAATCTAGGTATATGAAATAAGTCAGATATTCTTCTGATGGTGAAGAATATTTGGTATTTTGGATGATGGATGGGAAACACACTTTGAAATGTCTTTTCTCTTGAAATCATGAAACAAAATATTTACCAAATTGCATTTTCGTAGAGCCTACAGAAAATATCATTGAGAGATTCTAAGACTCCTCTTCTTCTTCTGTGTGATATTTGTGTAAAGAGGAGGGGTTTTTTAATTTAATTTTATTACTTTATGACTAAGAATCTCTCTACTACTGTATAATATTAAATAGCTAATTTAGCATAGTCATTTAAAGAATTAACCCAACTTCAAATATGAATGTGACATTGTGAGATAGTGAGATAGCAACTTCCTTCATCTTCCAGATATCGCACATGGAAAAATCATCAGCAGACCCCAATTATAATGAAACTAGGGCAAGCACATGATCCCCAGACTTCAAAAAAATGTAAGGATTGCCAAAAGTGGTTATGATCCACACAAAACCATACAAGATGAATTGTAGCAGAAGTCAGGCAGGGTTAGCAATTTCAGAAAACATCAGCAAAATTCTACTACCTGAAGGAACTTTCTACAAGTAGCCCAACCAGGAAAATCCTGAGTAATAAAAACAGAGCAGACACAGCACTGATACAAAAATAAAAGAAAACCGGCTGGGCCCAGTGACTCACACCTGTAATCCCAGCACTTTGGAAGGCCGAGGCAGGTAGATCACTTGAAGTCAGGAGTTCAAGACCAGCCTGGCCAACATGGTGAACCCTCATCTCTACTAAAAATACAAAAATCAGCTGGGTGTGGTGGCACGTGCCTGTAATCCCAGCTACTTGGGAGGCTGAGGCAGGAGAATCAGTGCTAGCCCAGGAGGCAGAGGTTGCAGTGAGCCAAGATCACGCCACTACACTCCAGCCTGGGTGACAGAGTGAGACTCCGTCTCAATGAAGAATGAATGAATGAATGAATGAATGAATACCATAGGAAAAAGCAGCAAAACTTACCAAAGAACACACAGCAGGAAACTATTGCCATGGAACACATTATAATTCAGACTAAACTTTTCTCCATGAATTAAAATATTAGGCCAGGCAGAGTGGCTCATGCCTGTAATCCCAGCACTTTGGTGGACAAAGCAGGAGGATCATTGGAGCCCAGGAGTTTGGGCCAGCCTGGGCAACATGGCGAGACTCTGTCTCTACAAAAAAATTAAAACGTTTGCACACACCTGTAGTCTCAGCTGCTTGACAGATTGAGGTGGGAGGATCGCTTAAGCCGAGGAAGTTGAGGTTGCAGTAAGCCATGATCATGCCACTGTACTCCAGCCTGGGTAACAGAGTGAGACCCTGTCTCATTTAAACATAGAATATTCATTCGTGAAAATTGTATCAGAGCAGTGAACAAATTCCAAGGAAAAAAATAAAAGTAGCATTTTCTGGCCACAATGCAAAATAATAATAATAATAATAATAATAAATAACAATATAAAAGCCCTCCTACTTGGAAATTCTAAAACATGTCATTTAAACAGCTCCTGAGTCAAAGGGAAACTAAAAAATTTAGAATTTCTTGAAGATAAATGAAAACAAAATAACAGTCTGTAGAACAGACTAAAACAGTTTTCAGAGAAATTTTCATAGCGTTAAGTACCTGTAGCAGTAAAAATGAAAAATAAGATATGAATTAAACACCCAAAACTGGGATGAAAAGATAAACCAAACTAAAAGCAAAAGAATTAAGAAAGAAAAAAGATGCATTAGTTATACAGAAAATCAGAAGAAATAATGAATCCAAAAGTTGAGTTTGAGGTATGTATCAATAAAATAGATACATCATTAGCTAACCTAATAAAGGAAAATGAGATTGCCAAAGTAAAATTCAAAAGATAGGGGGACGTGACCATAAAAATAGGACGTTTAGAGAATCACACTAGTTTGACCAAAACATATAATTTATTCAAATATGTTTGAAAACCTAGGTGAAATAATATTTTTTAGAAACCTACAATGCAGAAAAAATGACCTCAGTAGAAACAGCATCTAAATCAGAAAGATTGCCATAGAAGAAATGGAAAAAAATCGTTAACTCCAACCAAAAAGCACACTAGGCCCAGATGACTTCACAGAGGACTTTTACAAACCTTTAAAGACCAAAAATTTCCAGTGCTGCTATATTTCAGAGTATCAAAAAAAGAAAATGTATTTTACAAAGAAAACGTATCATTGTTCCCCGAATCTGAAAACATTGGCATAAAAAAAAAAAAAGGACTAACCTATTTCACTTGTTATCAATTCAAAAGTGATAAAATAGTAGCAAATAATCTAACAGCATATTCTGAAAAACACTTCATGACTAAAAGGCTGCTCTAGGAATACAGAATTGATTTACTATTTGGAAACCATTAATATCATCCTTCATATTGATAGAGGGGAAAAATCATATAATCATATCCAGACTTGTGCAAACATTGGATATATTCAATACCAACTTAGGTTAAGAACTCTAAGAACTGATACTTTTCTTAGCGCGCACACACACACACACACACACACACACACACACACTCTTAGCAGAAAAGCCAGGACCTTACTAGGTGCCTTCTAAATGCTTTTCCACTGAAGTCAAGAACCAGACAAGAATGTCCCCTCTATCTACTACTACTCAACATGAGTTTGAATGTATTAATATAGACAAAGGCATTCAGACTGCCTACTGTATCTGCTAAAATCATATGTCTGGAAAATCCAAAAGAATCCATGGAAAACTAACTACAAAGAATGTAAGAATTTAGTCAAATAACATTAAAAGTTAATACACATGTAAAAGTAATATTCCAGTTAGGATGTAGTAGGTCAGGGTAGGTCACTGCCTTACAATAACTTGAATGAACCAGATAAACTTCTAAAATCATGTTTTTAAAGCTATCATAGAACTAGGCAAGCAACAAGATATGAAAGAACTAAATTACTAGTGACAGAAGAACCTTTCCAAAGTGAGTGGTGATTGCCAGCTGTGTCTTCCTGCCTCTGCCGCCAGCGCTTGTTGATTCACGGTATGAGCTAAGAACTGGCCTTAGCCTAGGGAGAAAGCCATTACTGAGAAAAAAGACAAAGTAGTAAAGCTTTTAGCAGTTGTTCAAGGTGGAATTAACAGATTGGAAATCAAACACATGACCAGTTGTTTTCCAAGGAGCATTTTGATTAGAGCTAAGGCCACACAGGAGTCTGGGGGATTAGGCCCAAAACTTAGGAAAGGTAGAGTGAAATATCTCCATCTCGCACTGCTTAGGAAATAAGGAGATGCCGAATGACAGAGCCAGCCATAATCATGTGGCTTTTTCCCCTCAGGATTTTCATCTAGATACTACTTGGATGCGAGACTGAAGTCAGCTGGGGACCTCTAACAGGAAGAAGTCTTTAGGGCTGAGGAGACAGACACCTAACCTACCTACTCAGACACCTGAGGTCATTCCTGTTCCTCAGTTGTGGCACTCTGGGGATTCTGATTAGGTCTAAATTAGTTCCTAATCTAGCATTAGGTCTAATTAGGTCTAGCTTAGTTAATAATCAGAATCCCTGGTGTGCCACAACTAAGGAACAGGAATGACCCAGACAGACTGAGTCTTGCCAAACTGCATGCCCCAACCTAACTCATTATCGGGCAGGAATGAGTTGATGAGTCTTACTTTGCCTAATAGAATGAAGGGAAAAACTGCCCTGATGAAATATTTTAATATCTGGAGCTGCTGTGGTTCTTTTATACAGAAAGACCAGAATACAATTTTTAGAAAAAAATACTAGATATGCAAAGAAGCAAGAAGGTATGGTTGATAACAAGGCAAAATGTAGACAACAGGAGCAGATTTACAGATAATAGAGATATTATACTCAGTAGACAAGGACTTTACGATAACTACAATTAATATATTCACAAAAATAAGGGAAAAGATGAAGAAAGCAGATGAAAATAAGTACCTTTTCACCAGAGAACTAGAAACTATTTTAAAAATCAGATAAGCATTCTAGAATTTAAAAATAGAGTAATGAAAACTCATTGAATGGGTTTAATAACAGATTGAACAGAGCACAGCCCAGAATTGGTGAACTAGAAAAATATGCAGACAGAACCACAGAGAAAATAAGGGAGTGTGGGGATTCATAAGAGCATAAGAAACGATGGAAAAACTCCAAAGATCTAACATACATATAATTAGGGTCTGGGAGATAGAGAAGTAACAGAATTGGGCAGAAGTGATATTTGAAGAAATGGGCTAGAATGTTCCAAAATGGATGAAAGGTAGCCTACAGATTCTAGAAGCTCAGCAGACCCCAAGCAGAATAGGTACAATGCAAAGCATACCTAGGAAAATTAAAAGCTTAAGAGGCAGGAGGAAAAATACTATTTCTGTATCAGTTGCCTATCATTACAAACAAACAAATGGCTGTTTACAATTACAGAACTTAGCAGCCATTTATTTCTTTGTAATTCTGCTGTCTGGGCTGGGCTCAGCCTGGCACTTCTGCTGATCTCACCTGAAGTCACTTACATTGCTGGGGCTGCACACCCAAGAGCTCTTGACTCTCATGTTTGGTGCCTCTGGGGAAGCCTGGAAGAGTGGGAGCTGTCCAGGCTCCATCTCTACATGGTCTCTTAAGTACCATGTGATCCCTCCAAGTCCATCTGGTCTCTCCAGCTCCACATGGTCTCTCTGGCACAG